CTCATTCGTCCGAAATTCGCGTGTGTTCCTAGCACGAATACGTTTCCTTATTTCATGAGACCACTGCATCGCGAAGGATCGTCATTGGATCGTTCGTAGTTCTGAATTAGGGCATGCTGTCACAACAGAATTGTGAAGCTCTTCTAACTTCTGCAACGTTCTGAAATCTTGTTAAGAACACCCAAACTCTTTTGCCGTTTCTTAATCTTGGCAAGTTCATGGAGTAAACTGAGAATTATATGAAACACAATCAAACCATACAACTCCATAAGACACAACAATTAAGCAACTCCCCAGAGACATGCAACATTTTTGGAACAAAACGTAACAAAATAGTAGCGTTGATACGGTGATGTGTATTTGCAAAAAGCAATACCGTATTATTTCCTTCAATAAAGAATATTCATCCTGCTCTAACCGACAATGACTTTTATCGCAGAAACTTTGACCGTGTAATCGAACCTTTAAAGTTTATGAAGATATCTCTATTTTCGGCAAGTTGTCCGTTCGGCAAAATGTCCGTTCGGCAAAACGTCCGTGGGCAAAATGCCCGTTCGGCAAAATGTCTTTCGGCAAAATGTCCGGCCACCTGTATTTTTATCTCACTCTTTGTTTCACATACTGGTACAATAGATTACCAGTGTGTTATTCATCAAGGGGAAGGTGTTGAGCCTTATTAGCCTGCGTAGCAAGAGGTATTGTATATATTAGGAAATTTGAATTATCTGGCAGTTGAGTGAGATAGTATTCTGATTGGTTAGAATATTGATTTGGAATTTGTGATTGACAGCAAATTAAATGTCTTGAATTACATTAAGTGGCAATCCGCGGCCCTACTTTATTATTTTACTCTGTCTAACGCCAGACGATTTTACTCAACAAGGGGAGTAAAATGGGTTGCTGTACCTAAAATTAATATACTGTATACTGCCGTGTATACTGTCGTGTATACAGTTGGCTGCACATGGAGTGACATATGTTAGGTGACATATTATGTATAGGTAACAGTATGGTTTCGAGTGCAATTTAGAAAAAGCATGCACGAGTGAGTTTTTCAAAGACTATCAGAATTGCACGAAAGTGCAATTTGAAGTTTTTGAAAAACTCATGAGTGTATGTTTTCAAATTTCACAAGAAACCAACTATTACTTATTAATAATATACATGAAAAAATTAATGCCAGCGATTATTTTTACAAAAAACCGCCAGCCATTTTTGTCACTCCTAAAAACTCCTAAATGTTTGTTTTTTTGTATTATTTTTGCTGGAAATTGCTGTATCTTATTGGCTATCTTTGTTATTGTTTCATATTTTAAGCCAATCAGGAACCTACTGTAAATAATCAATGAAATTTGCACTGTATTTCATTTTTTGGCACTGTATTTCGAAAACATTTTTTTCATGTATATTATTAGTAGATATATGACATATGCAGAGTGACATACATAGACTGAGAATATCAGGATTTTGGGCATCTTACTCGATATAACTATTTTTTTAAAATTCCGCTCGAAATTTCCATCTGCAAATCCCTTCAACAATTAGTTATATCGAGTGAGATGCCCAAAATGCTGATATTTACCATGCATACACCTTACATTGGCATCACCTTAGTATTTCAGCCTCGTACCCAGGCTCTTTAGTAATTAATAGCGTTCAGAGCTCTGGGTGAGCTCTTTAGTAATTAATAGCGTTCAGAGCTCTGGGTGAGCTAGCCCAGCGCGCCTAGCTCACCCAGAGATCTGAACGCTATTAATTACTAAAGAGCCTGGGTACGAGGCTGTTAGTATTTATATACACGAACTTGTGGTTAGAGCTCGACAACTGTTTATCTGTAGCTGAATTGGTTAGAGCCATAGATATCTTATATACATTAGATAGCGCATCTCTTTTAGTAAAATTGAAGCCAAGAATATTCCAGCGGTTACCCCCATTTGAATAGATGGCGGCCATGTTGGAGTTTCCCACTCGCTAATAAACGCTTAAAAAACAACAATAACTTTCATCATTTGAATAGTTTGAAAATGTATTTGGAATAGGTTTAACTTAATGTTTAAGTTCCCTGTTTAAGAAATAGAAAACATACGAGTCTTCTCATTTCATGGGAATATCCTGAGTCTGCAATCACGGCTTCAATTTTTGAATTGCAGAATAATTAGATGCACTATCTAGTGTATATAAGATATCTATGGCTGCACCGGAATCGCAGGGCCTATAATTAAATCGCTCGCTTAATTCCTTTGGTCAGCCAATCAAATCTTGGAAGAAAACGTTCTTTGAATAAGGTGCAAGATCAGACTACCCCAGTACGACAACTTTCTATTCGACTTGAGTTACTAAATGTATATATAGAAGCATGACCATTATTGCGGCGCAATAATCCACAATCCCGCATGCAGGAATGAGAAATAGGTCCTCCTCATTCAGACTCCCCCCCCCCGAAACGGCAATATTAGCTCAGCATAACCGATTTTTATCTGAAACGTGACCCATTTTAATATGAAATTGTATTACCTCGTACTGATAGGTGTAATTGATTTATGGGGTCGACCTGGTGGAATTCGGGAAGACAGGGCAGCTGTCTTAGCATCCAATGGCTTTGCGACTTTAGCTTTGGCATATTGGGGATTTAGAGACCTTCCTGTGAGGTATGGCACACTTTCTATGTCATACTTTGAGAAAGCTGTTGATTGGTTGATATCACATGAAAAGGTAAGGTAAAATAAAGGTTGGGGTATCTTTCCGTTGCTAAAAGGGACCACCATTCGACCCAAAACTAGCCGTCTAGGGACGAAAATGGATCCTGCAATCAGACTCCCCTAGAAAAATCCAGCACGCTCCAAAAAATCTTCTTGACCACACATCTTCTACTGTTAGCGTGTGTCGATTTCTTGGAACGATTAAATTGATTTGCGAGCTCACGATAAATATCATGGTTAAATGTGTAAACATGTTCCGGTTGTTACACAGTCATATTTTCAAATATACTGTATGTTAACAAGCAAATTTACTGTACTGTGCTACAGCAACTGTCCAGTCACGCATACGTGATAAAAAGCCGATATGAACTTTATAAACAAACGATAATGTAAAACGTAACATAACGGCGAACATGCAGATTCGGCCATCTCAAATAATGATGGGATAGTAGCGTTGCAGACTGCAGAGCAGAGTGGGCAGTAAGTTTCCTTCATGCACCACCGCATGGAAAACCTGCACCCCTCCTTGCATATGAGGCTAGATCCGCCTCAATGTGTAAACACCCACTCTGTGTGTGAACCTCACCTCCCACGCATGACATATCGATTGGCCTTAACTATATGTTCTAATTTAGATCAGTCCCAGAGAGCATATATAAATTATTTTATGATTTGGGACATCAGGCTCTGTTTTGAGTAAATGATTGCACATATTGTGAATGGGATTATCCAATCTAATTTTTGGGTTTTATTTCCATCTACGCTGCCTCTGGATGCCAATACGACCCCAATTTTGTACCCAGGGTATTCCCATGTCTGATCACCTTGTTTTACCTAGGTCATATCTAGTGGCATTGGTTTAGTTGGTTTGTCATTGGGTGGAGTCCTTGCCTTGGCAATTGCTTCACAAATTCCGGACAAAATTAAAGCAGTTGTGTCAATATCAGGACCTCGTGTTCTTATTGGGTGCACATTACGTTGTAGAGATTTTACAATTCAAGGTTATCCTGTGGAATATACCGATGAAACTTATGTTTCGTATTCCCATTATCTTTCTATCTTCAAAAGCAAAGACGCCTGTAAACCTGGAGCGCCATCGCTCATCCCTGTGGAACATATAACCGGCAAAGTATTGTTGGTCTACGGTCTTGCGGATGAACTGAATACAGAAATTGAGTGGATGTGCGAAGAAACGTTTCAACGCATGGAAAAGCACGGAAAGGGTTCGCTATGCAAACGATTGCCTCTTCCTGGGACGGGACACTTCATTACGCCATGTTATCTTCCACCATGCTCAAGGCATTATGCGAAAAGATGGGACGATGTCTGGTCCTTAGGAGGGGAAAGCAAGGCACAATCAAAAGCTCAAGAAATTTATTGGAATGAAAGCCTAGAGTTTCTAAAAGAAAATATAGTCTAATGAATATTGTTAGAGGATTTTTGAAGATGGAAATTTCGAGTTAAAAATTAATGTGTTGGAGCGGTTGCGAAAAATGTAACTACAGGGTGTATAAAAAAAAACTGAACAGATATGAATTTGCTCTCAATTTCGCAAAACAGCTACTGGTATCAACCTCGTCCCTGGCGCTTTGATGTGCTCACTGGTTGCGTGACGCACGCGCGGGAATCGAGGTGCACGAGGCTGTACTGGTATCCAGTTTTTGATGTATACAGCTTCTTTGGGTACTTACAATGTAGAATAATGAAAAAAATTTCTCGAACTCAAATTTTGTGAACCGGGGGGGTGTGTGTCTTTTCCAACAAACTAAAAATGGCTTGCGCACAAAATTTAAAAGCTTTGATCATATTTTGAGTTAATAGATGGAACATTTGTCGGGTGTTTAATTACTGTACAAAATTTCAGACAATTTTAGTTTAAGCCCTTTAACTAATCACGCAAACTTACATTTTTCCTAAAAATCAGCTATTTGCATGTCTAATTTGCATATGTCAGCAATATGCAAATTAGGTAAAGGCATAATTAAGCATGCGAAAGGCTGATTTCGCAGGAAAAAATGAATAGCTAAAGGGGCTTAAACTAAAGCAAATTGTCTGAAATTTTGGACAGTAATTTAAAACCCAACAAATCTTCCATCTATTAACTCAAAATATAATTAAAGCTTTTAAATTTCGTGCGCAAGCCATTTTTAGTTTGTTAGAAAAGACACACCCCCCTGGTTCACAAAATTTGAGTTCGAGAATTTTTTTTCATTATTCTACATTATAAGTACCCAAAGAAGTTCCCTGCTGGCAGAGGTCTCTATTTGTGCTGCGAAGCGAAGGAGAAGAGACCTCTGCCTAGATCTGACACGTTTTCTGTCGCGCATGTGCAAAAATTGCCATGACAACGAGTGATGTTCACCACGTGTTATCAAACCGGTTTTTGCGGGAGCAACTTGGTAATTCAAAGACTTACCGTAGTTTGAAGGCAAACAAATGTATCTCGGCCCGATAAAACAGAAAAGATTGCTTTCTTTTGTTCTTCTATCACAGTTTCAGCTTTGAAAATATCAATTACATAATTTAGAGCACTTCAAACAACATGAAAAACCTCGAAATGACCACGCTGTGCAAGCCGCCATTTTGACACTACGGGCTCAATGTCATTACAGCGTAATTCAGCTCTGAGTAGGCGTACTATTTGTTTATCAAAACCGGTTTCAGAACTTGTTTTACAAACTGGTTTGACTCGTCCACGATCATGGACTGAGGAAGTGTCAGATCTCCTCTGCCAGCAGGGAACCAAAGACGCTATATACATCAAAAACTGGATACTAATAGCTGTTAAGTTGTTTTTCGAAATTGAGAGCAATTTCAAATCTGTTCAGTTTTTTTTTATATACCCTGTATAGACCTCTCCCCTTGTATTTTTCAGGTAGTTGCATCCCTACCAACGAAAGCTTTGTTACCTCTGTCAGGAATCCAACCTGCCGCCCTACGATTCAGTGCGGATGATTCCAGCTATAGACTAAATTTTGATCTAGGCAAGAAGAACAAAATCCATCACCACAGCTAGAAAGAGCATGTTCAAATTAGTAAAATTGCAACGTTTGGCCGCAAAATGTTGTAAAATGCGGAAAATATACCCCTGCGAAATTTGCAAATTTTGTATTACGCGCAGGAAAATGCACCACATTTGGGCCGAAAGTGCAGGTGCATTTTCCCGTGCGCAATACAAATTAATACAAAATTTACAAATTTCGTAGGGCTATATTTTCCTCATTTTACAACATTTCGCAACCAAACTTTGCAATTTTACTGATTTTAACATGCTCTTGCTAGCTGTGGTGATGGATTTTGTTCTTCTTGCCTGGATCAAAATTTAGTCTGTAGCTGGAATCATCCACTGAGTTCATTAAAATTTGAATTCTAAAGAGTGAGATGTCCAAATCCTGATATTTAGTAATAATTAAAGTCGCTTGACGCTGCCTCATACTGGGATATCGGGAAAACCCCGCTAATAAAATAACCGCAGTCAGAAGGCCAGAATTTAGACAAGAACCCCATATTTGCACCTTTAGGAGAAAAAAATAGGTTGAGAAATACTCTGGAATAAATTAAGATATTGTAATATACCTTATTCGACATTGATTATCATTAATAATACCGTTTCTGAGCTGTCGAAAACCAAGGGGATCTGAGGGTGCTCCGCCTGAATATTTTCTTATAATTTCGAGCTCGAAGACTTCATTGTTCGCAAGTGTACTCATCATGGACTTCAGACTGGCCAATTTCCAAGTGAAATAGAAAACTGATACAAACTGAAATTTATTTTACATAAATTAATAAAATATACTCTATTATTTATAATATTGAAAATAAGTACTATAATTATAGTAACCTGCGATCATGCTCTGTACCGCCTTCCACTCAACTACACTATAGTTTTATATTACTAATCCAATCAAAATGCCCCACGATAAATTTCAATTTCATATAACAACAACAAATGAATCTAATAATGGTTACAACCACTAAATATATCGTTATCTAATTAGCATTAACCAATCAAAACATTACGTTTAAATATAGAGCAATACTCATGCTAGAAACAGCCAATCAGAGATACAACCGTACAGGCGGTTGTCCACCGCGAGAAAAATAAAGGCCTGACGCAGGTTATAATTATACATTTTTTACATGCAATGGACCCCTGGACATCAAAGAATCACTTTCATTATCATCATCTGTTGATCGCCTCTCATGAGTCATGTGTTTATGGTAGAAATTACATTTTCTGATGGCAGTTAAAAAGTTGAGCAATTTTAAGAGCAGGTCTTCTCAAACTAACACTGCCCATATTTACTAAGATGGCCACGACAACACCATTTGGTAGTGGACTTTCCTGTGTGACGTCAAATAAGTTCTTATTCACAGAGTTTGGTAGAATTAAGAGTATACTGCTTGCTCCCACAGCTCCACCTGCGTAACACAGTTAAATCATATAGTTATTACAACAACTATGGCACCATATCTCATGATCTAGGTTTATGCATATTGTACTGATTTTCGCCAATCGAAATCAATGAATAGTATAATTGCTATTAGGAGGGAGTGCGTGGGTGGGAGTAACTGGGGGGGGGGGAGGCGAAGGCGAGAGAAAGAGAGCGAGGAAAAATGGTTCGCACCTCCCATTTTTCCTCGCTTTCTTTCGCCTTCGCCTTTCCCCCCTAGTTTCTCCCACCCTCGCCCTCCCCCTGATAGCGCCTGCTACGCAGGCTATAGTATGTTTAAATTTATTTAAAAAATGGTTCAAGATACCAATGGATATTTTAAGAGAAATCATTGCTATTGGTTAAATGCGCGAAAATACAATACGCACATCGCAAGAAAGAGCTATCAAATACTAAAAAGAAAACAAATTTCAGGGCTTTGAATTTTCACGTTATAGATAACTGTTCACATAATAACTTTTTCGCACTGAATGCACTAATCATGCAACTTATATGTTTGTACCATCAATATACATGTTTGTACCATGTTATGTCCAGAACCAGATCCTCCAGTGGAAATGGAACAGTATACATGGGCAGTGATAAGATGAAATACAGTACTTCGCACGAGACAATGACAGCTTATTGTTGTACAGTATCAGCATTTTTTAAAATCTTTGATCTGACAAATCTACAATCTGTACTTTTAAAACAAAAGTGTAAATAAATATAGTTTACTGAACCTCTTTAAATACCCTATGACAACCTGCATGAGTCAGCTAGATTGTCACATTTCAAAATTTTGGTAATTTTTCCTATTATTGAAGACGTCATCAAACTACATGTGCTGAACTCTGTATGAATGCGAATTTGGGATGGCACTATATCAGAATTTATTAGTTTGGTTATATTAGCAATGTGGCAAAATGTCATGCTTTTATCATCAATTTGAACAATTGCGGTCATATAAATAGAATCGCAATGTCAGCCTGTTCAAGTGCAATCAAGCAACAACAGGAAGTGTCAATTGTGCACAATTTCGGAATTTCCAAAGCAAGGAAAGAATTAAATTTAATCGGAATAACTTACCACTGTGAGCGATTGCCTTCTGTTGGTCTCTACAACAACCACGTTCGTGCTTTTCTGGTAGTATCGCCCATCCCAAACCATAGCCCCAGTGCTTGGAAACTTTGTCTTCAGTGTTTTCAACAGTCGTCCATGATAACCTCATGCTCTCTGGAGACAATATTCCTATTATAATGATGCATAACCATTGTTATTTGGAAGAAACGCATTCAGTTCTCTATCTTGTCCTACTCGACTAATTAAAAATTTGATAAAATAGTTATTAACTGTTTTTGTACATTTCGAGTAAGTTAAAATTCTTGCCAAGTTGTAACACATCAAAAAGATTGAAGGAGCGCTGCAATTTTATCTCGGAAAGTCATTTTACGAAATTACACCACAAAGTCACATGGAAATATATTTGTGATGCAAAATATAGGGGTAGCAAAAGGTAAATGCGATGATTTGGCATGACATGCATATACGTTAACTTTTTTTTAATTGTCTTTGCCAGTGTAAGCAGTGCCAACAAAATGAACAAGCTTCGTAGGTAGGGATGCAAGTCATGCCACTAACTGAAAATATATAAAATTTGACGTTTCGAGCGAAGGCCCTTCGTCTGCAGTCGCTATAGTGACGACGAAACTGGTCCTACTTCTTCTTTGATCAAATTTTGTTTGGTCAAATCAGTATCAAACCCCAACAATTTTCGCTGGCCATGGTCTACTAACCGAGTAAATGCAAAGCGCATTTTTCTTTATTCTCGGACAGTTTATCAGATGCCATTTTAATAAGGACCTATTATTAGTCGCTCTTACATTTTTGATTTTGTTAATTTCTTGAACTTATAATTACTTTTTAATTAGGTTGTGATGGCATCAGGTTTCCCATACATTTTTATTATCCATGTACGGATATGTATATACAGTATGAAAAACGACTTGCCTGATAATAAGCTATCCTTTGATTTCCCCTGAAATTCTCCAATTTGGCTTGAATAAAGCATTGCATTTCCAAACTTTATTAAATCTTCAGTCGTTGATATGAATCCCCCACCAGCCCATTTATAACAGTTATCCACGTATGGGGTATTCATCAATTGTCCTTTTTCATTCCTCACATAATGCCTGCATGCATGTATATAAGAGAGAGCACAAAAACTCAATAGAGAGCCACATTGTAAAGCCTGGCGTACACGTTGCGATTTTAGTCGACCAATTTTAATCGGCCAATATCAATTTGTTTTGATATTGTCCGATTACAATCGGCCGACCAAAATCGCTTAAAAGTGACAGCACACACGCAAGGATTTCATTCGGCCGACTGGTATCGGCCGACTAAAATCGCATCGTGTGCGTCAGGCAATAATAATTGCATAAGCAATTTTATCTAATCTGTAGAGTAACAAGTGAGGTCTAATATGATGCATGGAGTCCGGCACTCTTCTCACACCCGAGTGGGGCGAACTCAGAATCAGACAACACCATAACACTGCAGACGTCGGTACTATAGTCGCAGAGGTGAAAGGCACATACCCGAATCGCTCTACAAACACAATCACTTTTCTCGTATGATGACACACACCATATACGGCCATCTATGGTGGAACTATGATGTGTATACCGTTATACGGGTGTACTCTTTTATTTGTGGGTGTGGGTACCTAACCCCGAACCGAGTGCGACCAACTCACTTTATGGACATTCGCTTTATACAGGGTGTATAAAAAAATAGAAATCACCCTTTTGTTGTAAACATCCAAACTTCATTACCTCTGGGAGTTTAGAATGCATTGTAATCATACGAGCATATTAAAACTGCATAAATTGTACATGAAAATTCTAATTAAAAGTTAAAACGACTTAGAAATTAGTCCCGTCAGATCGATTAAAAATGGTTCAACTGACTACAGAGCAAGGAGTATTCAATTAAATTCCCAGGGGCCGGTTGTATAAAACTCTTAATCACTTTTTTAATCACTATTTTGTAGTTAAATAGTGATTAACTTTCAAATACGCGCTTCTTATTGGATGACGTTTGCACTTAACTATAGTTAACTTTAATCACTTTTTTATACAACCGGCCCCAGAGGTGTATAATAACGCGCTTTAAACAGCAAAACGGTGATTTCTAAAGCCGGTTTTTCTTTGCCTTTTCCAATTAGTTCCACCTGAGAAATCACAATTAAAGGCCGTTTTTCACTTGACGGAATTTTCCGCGCGGAGCGGAATTTCTCTTTGTCTTTTCTAATTAGTTCCACGTGAGAAATCACAAGACAAAGAAAATTTCCGCTCCGCGCTCCGTCGCCTAGTGGAAAACGGCCTTTACAGGGTGAGTAAAAAAACCTGATATCTTCGTGGCTAATTTGAATAACAAAGGTGTCAGTTTTTTTTACTCACCCTGTAGATAAAAATTCCATTCCGCGCGCAAAATTCCGCCTAATGAAAGCCTGATTCCGCTTAAAGTCTTGTCTAATGCTTGTAGTGCATGAATTAATTACATGCAACCAAAAAATGAACGGCTGTATAATGATGTACACACATCATAGATTCGTGCATGGCTGTATGATGATATACATCCTACAGAGGAAGAGACTGACCCACAAAGAACCAGCTACATGTAGTGCTCGGACTTGAAATCTCATTTGGATTTTTGGAAAACTTTACCTCGACTCACCAATTTAACAACTAGATGCAAATTTTGCAGTTGTATACACAGGATGACGTCATTCCAAACCTTTTTTCGATAAAAGGAATAAAAATACGTTTTTCGGAATTTTGCGACCTTAATTTTTCACAATATTTCTTATTCTCCGCAATTCCAGCATTTGGGCGCCCCCTCTGGGGGAAATTGGGCCCCCTGGCCCCTTCGTTGACTTTTCTTGGGGGGGGGGGGCTGTTATACCCCCAGTCGGCACGGCGCTGCACCCAAAAGTTCTTACCTAGCTCTTCCATAAACAAGATTCTTATGAAGTTCTGCTTGAGTATTATTCATGCCCAAATCTTTAAACAGTTCATACATGCATAGCAAGAATTTCTTCTGAGCCGCACTTTCGATAACTGCGCTAAGCAATGTCCACCCAAATGTTGTATAAAGAAACTCCGAGCCTGGTTCGTGAACCAATGGGTCATCTTTGAATAGGGACAGAGATTTTTCAACACTATCATAACATTCCTATATGCAAAACAGAATTAAAATTATTATGGATTTATCTATAGTACATCAATAATAATTACAAACACCGCAATAATATGCGTGGCATGCAATGTTATATTATAATGGAACAAGACGCTCTATTGAGCGTTTAGTCGCTGGGGTTATTAAAATACAGGGCGATTCCGCAGGGGTTTCAGAATGATTTGAAGTAGGCGGTTGTACCAAAAAAGTAGCCGGCTGTGACTGATAGTTAAAAATTCGCGCGGGGAGGGGAGCGTGCTCTCGCATGGAAATTTGAAAATTAACAAATCGAATAATATAGCAAATCGCAAATTAACAATCAAATAATATAGAATAAGTAAAAAGACAAAGTACAACTGTTAACATGTTAGATTTAGATGTCATTTGCATTTATACTTGTAAGTGACAATGTCAATACTTTAATTAATGTGCTACTAGTAGTTTAATTTTTACAGCTGCATGAACAGAATGACAATGTACACTACAGTAATAGTATTAATTTATGAGTCCGAAATCATTAATCAAATGATGTTATACTTATGTACGTAATGAACTTTACTTTATCACTTCTTCTTTCTTTTGCTATGTTTGGTACCATGTATTATAATTTATTTTATTGATCCTCCAAAATAAGTGATGTTTTGCTTGAATTCAGGGCTTGAATTTTATCGCGGCAATTGCCGTAGAGGGAGAACAAAATGCCGTGGATCATTGCGGCAACGACGGCAATTTTTTGCCGTATAGTATAATTTTTAAACTGTTCACTGTGCATTACTATTTTGATACTTGAATTCAGATGTTGATCAAATCATCCGTAAATTACTCTTTTAATCTCAGTTTTCTTCGAAAAAAAAACCACTAAAGAAATACGTAAACATGTTTCTAGCTTGTCAGCAATCCAAAGTAACAATAAAATTAAATTTTTATTACAGTAATTTGAAAAAATGCCGTGTAAACTGACAAAATTGCCGTAGACAGCTGTTACGTTCTACGGCAATTTTTAACGCCATTGCCGTCGATTGATTTCACGGAAATTCGAGGCCTCTTTGCATGAATTCCAATTGGAACATAACAAACATCGTGTTGGTTCGCTTGTACCTTTGTATATAAAATTTGTCCTGTGACCAGACGAAAAGTAGCCGGCGGTAAAAGTTCAAGTAGCCGGCGGAACTCCGCCGGCCGCCGGCTTATTCTGAAACCCCTGGATTCCGCGATAAATGTCCGCACATACTTGACGATAGATGCGAGCAAGTCTATAAAATGTATAATGCGCCTAAATTTATAGGCGAATATATAATAACTACAACATAGAATTTTGAGCCTCTCGTACGTTGTTTCTCACACTCCTAGGTCTTTTCCAGGGGCAAGTGAAAGTTATGCTTTGTGTGCCTCAAACGGCAAGTGCACGCACATGCATGCGCAGAAGTTCTCATGAAACATTCAAGTACTCGTATACATTGTTCAAAATTCACCATGACATCTTGATGTAACCCGACGGGACCAGTGAGCTCTATATATATCTGGAGTAAGAACTTCAGTCATTCGGTCAATGAGAAAAGTGAAGCCAAGATGGCGGCCATTGACGTCCAATAGCTCTGAAGGTCGGTAAACAGTTTTTATACCATTTTCCCCAGCTAATTCCAGTTTTTTCTAATGGACCGTATCACTAATCAAGTTTTCAGTTCATAAAATCACAATATTATTCTTTAAATCGAAGTCAAAATACGAAATTTCAACACACTCCTTGCCAAGATGGCGGAAATTGAAGGAGCTCGTGGACGTCAGTTCCAGTCCCTTTCTATTGTTTTTGTATGCACGGTTAACACGAAACTGGCTTCACTTTGAGCAACCAAGTTCCTGCTCCAGATATATATGGAGGTAATGGAGCTCACTGGACGGGACATGTACAAGTTTGAATGAACACAAATGCCGATAGTTTTGAAAGCATTAACAAAACATCTTTTATCCACAGTGGACCGATCAGCGTAGTACATTTTCGCAAACTATCTTAATGAAAGTTGTAAACATTCACGTTGGTTCTCGTCTTAACCACAGATTGTAGAAGCTACATCCAGCTACTATGAGATCAGTGGGATTTTTCCAATTTGTGTCCTTACGGTTATTAAAATTAGTAACTAAAGGACGAAACAGCAAAAGCGAAACCTATAGTCGCTGGCGGCACAGTGCCCCAGCGACTAATTAGCAATGTTACAGTGGAATAGACCATTTCCGAATTACGCTCTAACTGTCAATAACAACAAGTCGAGGCTAAGTGCTAATTTCAGTAATTTGCTATAGAATTAGTAAGTAGCCACGTTATTAGGCTATTGTCTGCAGTGGGCATTCGGCCATTATAATCGGAAATGGCCTATTGAGATTATTATTTATTATTAACATTTTAACCTTGCTAGTAGCGTGCATAAAACACTGACCTTTATGTAGTACTCTTGCTTCTGAAATTCTGACACTTTATTTTCCCGTTCCTCTTTTTCATTTCCATCTGAAATGAACAAACATCAAGAAGTCGGTCGTGCAGCACTGACGGTGGATTTCTGGGGATCCATGAAACATTGTTGCAGAAACAGTTCTTCCGAACCAATTGTATCCAGAACGTGGGCTAACGAGGTACACACGTAAAATTCTCAAAACTTGTCAACAAGATGTGTTCGTAACGGGCTTGTAGCAAGCTCGTCAGCAAGTTGTAACAATGGTGTTATTGTCATACACTCAAAACTGGTGAGCAAATTGTTGAATCACAGGACGATAACAACTTGTAACAAGTCTGTTGAGCTTAACAACATTGTACGTAGCAAGTTGTCAACAAGCCGTTGACAACTTGTCAACAAGCTGGGAGCAAGCAGTGCGAACACATCTGGTTGACAAGTTGTTGGAACAGCATTGTTATAAGTCTGCTGCAGGTTTGTTACAACTTGTGTGTTTTTACGTGACAGTGTAGTATTGTTTCCGCAACAAAAATCACACCACTTAATTGTTACTTGGTATGCCATATATATATACCAAGAATAACGTTGCGTTTTCAAAAATGTCCTCTCTGGAGAGCGTTTTTAAAAATTTGCGGTTACAACGTGCGTTTTCGTTGGATACGTGTGGACGGAAGGCGTATCCGCTACAAAATGTTTGTGGATACAAAGGAATCCGGATAGATATACATAAAACTATTTTTCATATTGTTAGTACGTGCAGGTTTTGGTAAACTAAGACCACTTGAAATGCCCCAAAGGTTGTAGTTAGTATTAAAATATTACTGAATTTGTTTGGGTATAGTTTTCGCAGGAAGCAATATTTGAGTGCGCGACAATGTTCTCAAGGTCCAAAGATGGACAAACAATCTAGTGCGCCACCTGTCTCCTCGTCCACTTCGAAAAAAACATTCATGTCACAAATAATAGCGTAGTGATAATACTGTACACTCGACTCTATCATACGCTTACTAATACCACCTGATAAGCTACATATCTTGAATTAACGTTTGTTATACTTACTTTTTGTTGTACCAGACTGCGTACTCCCCTCTCCTTTCTTGGTTTTGTGATAATGTCGTATTCCACTTTGATGACAAAGTAATTGACGAATGGTAATTACGCAGGGTTTCGAGTTTATTTGTTTTTCTGGAAAGTTAGGAACGTATTTCTGTACTGGATCATCCAAGTTTAATTTTCCTTCATCTAATAGTTTCACTATATAAACACATAATTTGGACAAAAGGTATGAGACTCCATCTAATTGTAAATCTTGGGTCATGATGAATCAAGAAGAGATACCAATAACAGATAAAACAAACGAACAAACAAATCCAGGAGACAACATACTGTAACCTCGTTTGTTTTAATTAACTCTTACTAAATTATTTATTAGCAAACCATTCAGTATTTCAAAACCGGATGCCTTCAAAATAGTCATATAATTTCAAAATAGTCATGTTCATCAGTGCCAGCACTCGGAAATGTATGGATTATGGATTAATACTAAACTTTAAACTTAACGTAGCCTGTATGCGTAGTCTCTCTCGTTGGAGCACAAAAGACGAATGGGGGAAAAGAGGGTTTACCGTAAAACATGGCTTTCGTGACTTATAAACGCACGTAAGTTCAATTTTTTAACGTAGTCGTCAGAATTTGATTGTCCAATAACAAGTATTATCATTTACTTGTCTTATTCATTTTTTCAACGTTGATTGGCTAATTTTCCTGAATAACTGATGAGAATAATACGCGGGTCAGGTGCAAATAACTGGTGCAAATAATGGTCTGAGCATGCGCACTTTTGAAATCAATTCTCAATTGCAAAATATCGATTTACGCATGCGCATTTAAGATTTTTGAAAAGCAATTCAAATGAACACAAAAGGAAAATTATAATCTACATCAATTAAATTTTCAGATATTGTTATTGAATGTACAGATTTGTTGAACTTCGTCACAGCCACAAAATTTCAAAAATGAATAAGTAAATGATAAAACCATTATTGAACTCGGTTATCGCAAAATATCGCGATTTGTCAGTGGCTCGCAGATCTGCCTAATCAGTTGGCATCGGCAAATAATTGATCCGCGTTCGCCACTGACAAAACACGATATTTTGCTCAACCTCGTCCAATAATTGTATATTAATTGGCATGTTTACGCATAAGCGAGTACATTTCTACGTACCATGTAGTAAGGATTTAAGGAAGATTTAAATAAACGTAACATTCATTTGACACTTAGACTTGCGCAAAGTCGTTTTCAACTTAGGTATTTGTACGTAACTTTCAACTAGCTGAAAAATACAGTGAAGCAAAACTTGTGCTTGCATTCCAGCTACATGTACCGGTAGTTGAATTCCTCTCAGTCCACAGCTTTCTGGTGTTTTTGCAGTTACCTACACTGCATGCACAGAGTTTCTATCCAATTCACCATCCCTTTCCTGAAAGCACCCTCACCCCTCTACAACGAATCTGCTCAAATGTGAAATCTGTGAAATCCATACTATGAAATTTACAATTGAACCACTAAATCCATAGTATATCCATATTATTTCGATACTATATCCATAGTATGGAAATATACAATTACTATTATGGATCATCAAAATCCATTCTATTTCCAATAAAGTTCCATACAATTTCCATTCTTTGACCTTATATGGATTTTCAAAATTTTTTCCAGTGTATAATGTTACATAATAATTAAGCTCCTTACTAGCTGCAGCTGCCGTCAAAGGCTTGCTTATACTTGCTATCCTCATCACTGTGCTAGGTGTACATGGGACATCATTTTCAATATCAGAATAACCAAATCCTTCACTCCAGACAGTCCTGCCGTCGACGCTGACACTGATTGCTAGACCAGGACTTCCGCTTTCTTCTCTAAACCTTTTAATTAAAGATCTTGCCTTTCCTATCAAGACTTCATTGTCTGATTTGCTTCCATTAAAAACATCAGGATTATGAATCTAAACAAATACAAAGTTAAATAAACAAATGCTCAGGTATGGTGTTCGGTTTATACACAGTAATGAATGGGAGACTGTCTTTTGAAAACATTAATAAACAATAAAAAATGTTCTTTTATCATTGGAATTGTGCTTTAAAATTGGCAAATCAAGTTAGAAGTCTTTTCTGTTTCATTGTGAGAGAATTAGGAACTGAATATTTGGCCGTTTGTGACCCGGCCGTACGGTCGCATAATGGGTCATCCCAGAAAAGATCTACTAACCATATAATCCACCCTAACCCCAAGGAGGAAATTTCTGCTGTCTGGAGGTGGAGGGGATAATAGTAACTAAAAAGTGAATTAGGACATGCGAGGGGGGGGTAGGGGGGCTAACTTCCAATTTCCTCCATTGGGGAGGTTATAATGGATGTTTTCTGCAACAACCCAATATGCAGTCATGATAATTTGAGCTATAAATTAATTACTTATAAAGGGAGCCTGGTACAATTAAGTAGACGTCATGTCATGTCATATTGATGAAATGCAAAATTCAAATCTAATAGTAAGACTAAGTGTATGCAGTAGCTTATTAACTCAAATGGATGTTAATTGCCTGCCAAAAGCCAGGATCGCAAAGAGTCAAACTTGTGGGTGATTTTTAATATTCATTTGCTAGAATTTGGAACCAACAGATTACCCCAGGGCCAAGGGGGCCTCAGTGTCTTAAGCCTGGTTCACACATGCCTGCGGCATGCCTGCGACTGTATCATTATGCCTCTACTTGCCACCAAAATACCGGCAAAGTTGAACTCAAGTCAACTTTCCCGGCCTACCGCCGATGTAACTGTGGCACGTACTGGAGGAAATCGGCGAACAAATGTTCACATAATTTACGTTTTAAAGCTACCATCGGCATTGTCGCCGGTACCTCGCAGGCACGTCGCAGGCATACATGTGAACCAGGCTTTAGCTAGAAGGCAATGCTGGTCGTGTCTCTATGAGTCTATGGCAAAAATATCATGAACCAACAGTAGATATGTAGCACTGATATCCCATTAAACTGAATAGACCCTATCAAAAATGAATTCAATTTGAGTGAGACTTGGAGCAAGTCTGCTGCAAACACTCGTGTAATTGTATATGATATCTTGTACATGCAATTACACATTCCCAGCATAGAACTGATTTTCAGGTTTCATTCCATCACATTTGCATTGTGGTTATAGTGGTATCACTGATAAAGATAGCGGCCTCTAATGAAAATATTAAATGTTTTCTCGAATATTTTGCTGTTGGCTATCGTGCACCTGGCCCTAGCTTAAAAGTTCTTGCACAGGTCGGGACAAAAAATAAGCCATCTTGAATATCGGTGATACCACTATAACCACAATGCAAAGCGCTATGGGAACGTAATAAGGGGAATCATCTATTGGGTTCTAGTTGGGCCGTTGGGGTAAGAGGATGAAGCCCGGTGTCCCAGGAATTTCGCCCCCCCCCCCTACATTTTCGCCCCCCGGGGGCGAATTTCCTAGGAATATCGCCCCCCCAGGGGGGCGATAATCCTAGGAATTTCGCCCCCCTTTAGAAACTTCGCCTTTTCTTGAGGATTTTCGTCCTCCGTTCAAAATTTCGCCCTTCCTAACAGTTGCATGGGATAATTATTACATGGCTTTAATCATTTGAAATCAGTATCAATTCAAAATTGTTAAGACAGAGCTTGAAATAACAACCGATCACCGATCAATGATCGGCAAGGAATTGTTTATGATCGGCGGAAAAGCAGGGTTTCGGTTTCCAACCTGAAAAAAGCAGGGAAAGTCACGACTGCCGATCACCATGATCGGGAACTTTGGGAACGTTATTTCAAGCCCTGCATGTAAGAATACAAATTTACAATTACATGTATCGAAATGGCTTTACACAGTTACAGTAGATCAATACTCAATAGGACTTATGACGCTTCACAGCACACCATGCATATTTTGCATTTTCAGTGTTAATCCTTAAACTCATTGTTAAAAAGTGATCACCGTGGTGGTTATTGTAATTATTGGTATTGTTTTGCATCCACGTTTTGTCGTTATCGGAAAATGTATGGTTTGTCACTATTTTTTACTTGCATTATTTCAATATAGTTTGTAAATCTCAGAAGCGAAGGGTAGAACTTGCCAATAGGCAATAATCCAATAATATACGTTTCAAAAAAGACAAGAAAGCTTTTAGTTTTGCAGAGTTACATTCTCAAATGTTTAAGGCACTAATAAAATCAAAGTATCATGAAATTATTTGAATAAAACACACCACATATATATATATATATATATATATATATATATATATATATATATATATATATATATATATATATATATATATATATATATATATATATATATATATATATATATCCGAAGTATCATCAACTCGAACCGACTTGACCACGTAGCTCAGTTGGCAGAGCATTGGACTATAGGGTCCCAATGGTCACGGGTTCGATTCCTACCGTGGTCAGCTGCCTGGTGTCGATGCACACTCAGAGTAACATCACAAACATCATATTCACCTGAGTACATAACACCAACACACACAAAATAATAAGGGACCGCTCATTATTTATTGTGGAATCTAAATAAAAAGTCTCTTATCTTCATGTAAATAGACAATTCCCATTATTGACTAATTTTAGAACTAGGCAAAGAGATGCAAATCAAGGCCGGATTTTGGTGAAAATAGTGGGCGAGGTGCAAAATATGTTAGGGGAGGTGCAGCGGTCTAGCTCACAACCCCCATGAAAAGTTAGGGCTAGGGCTTATTGTAAAACAGGCCAATATCAACGAGGTGAGGTATGCATGTAGTGTACATATGTACCAGTGTATTAATGAATTATGAATGTATGACTCCAATCTTGCCCTAACATTTATACAATTGCTACAAAGTTTCTTTCAGAACATTGCATTAAAAGGGTACTTGACACAGAGATGAATGGCTATCACTGTTTCAATTTTACAGAGAAAACTTTCTTACGTCACGAAGTCTAGATCCTAAGCAACCATCACATTTTCACTTTGTTCCATCATTGAAACTTTCCCAAGGGGAGGTGCACCACCTTTCAGGAGAGGTGCAAAACTTCTCAGTGGAGGTGCAAAACGATCTCAGGGGAGGTGCGCACCTCTCCACACCTCCCCTCAAAATCCGGCCTTGATGCAAATAAATGACCACAGCTAGAACGAGCATACTAAAATAAGTAAATTATTGCAAAGTTTGGTTGCGAAATGTTGTAAAATACGGAAAATATAGCCTTGCAAAGTTTGCAAATTTTGTATACTTTTGTATTGCATGCGAAAATTGCAATACAAAAGTATACAAAATTTGCAAACTTTGGAAGGCTATATTTTTTACATTTTACAACATTTTGCAACCAAACTTTGCAATTTTACTAATTTTAGTATACCCTTCTCAGGAATATACTTTTTGTGCTAAGATAAGAATTAGTCTATAATGGGGAATTGTCTATTGGTCCCCATTATCTATTTTTTTTCTCTAAATAAAGAGCTAGAGTTTTTGTTTCTCTAAATAAAGATAAAGAGCTAGAGGGGGGACCAAAATTTATGTTCTTGTTTTGCCGGGGAGGGGGGGCTTTGAAAATTTTACTTGTCTTAAGAGGGGGGCAACGAAAAAATATTATAACTGTAGAGTTTCTCCTCAGTCTCCCCCTGTACAATAAATAATGAGCAGTCCCTAATACTTCATCTCAATAATTATAATACTTCATCCCAAATATAATACTTGCATGTCTTCGTCTCAAATATAATACTTTGTCTACAATATATATAATACTTCGTCTCAAATATAATACTTTGTCTCAAATATAATGCTTCATCGAAAATATAATACTTGTTGCGCAATAAGAGCCAGCAATATATGATCCATTACTGAAGTTACCATAGTTACCAAACTATGCGCGCGCATTAGTTTTAGATTTCTATACAGCAGACGTCTACATTTGCATGGAAGGCATGTATAAAATTTGTATGGAAGGCATCTACATTTGTACGGAAAAAGTCTACATTTGTAGACCTACGGAAAGCGTCTATATTTTTGCCCAAGTCGTCTGAGTTTTCTACGGAAACGCCGCACATTATATACAGAAACGCTCTGTTATTAAGAAAATTACGTCAAGTACACAGAACGAATTAATAATATGATTTTCTACGAAACAAGTGTTTCCTTAACGGGCCACCGTACATTTAGAATCAATTCTATCGAACGAGATGCCCCAAATTATCAATATTTATGCAAATTCTTATTTTATCCCTTTTTACATTGTTTATGACTTCTTTGAAACGTTACGGAAATGAATTTGAAGACATATATATTATAATCATTCTATATCCGCGAATCGGCCGACGTTTTTTCATGATAGGAAAGTCTAATAACAATAATTACCTGCAACATGGACAAACTTCCACAACTGATCAACAAAGTACTGTCCATAATAGGAACCAACTTCTTGATCACCTTTGCCCCACTTCGCCACTCTGTATCCATCATATTTCACATTGTAGATGTAATAGTAGCCGGGATGATTTGGGTCTTGTTTCAGTTGCCAGAACTGATCCATATATAACTTTTGTTCGTAGGTACCCATTTCCCGACCTTTGGTCCCCCACATGGCCAAATTAGCATGGTCATATTTTTTGTTGACGATTAGGAAAACATTTCCGTTCAGATTCATTATCTGTTAAACAGGTAAACAATAGGTTTTAAACAGTAAACTCGCAAGGCATTTGAGGTAATTTACCTTTTAAATTTGTTGAGCAAAACAGCAGCCAAAATGATATGGTAAACAAAATATCAACGTTTTCAAATCTATTTCAAAATATAATTTTTTCAAAGTCGAAATCATGAAAGCAAACTATATGATAAAAATTACTTGAATAAGACTCGTAAAAACTTTGCATCACTGTTGTGCCGAAAAACTCATTTACCACTGGCAGACTCGCCAATCGATTAGAAGGTAAATAATGCATTTTCGAAATTATTTGCTTTAGAGCCAAGCCTATATAAGGCAATGAAGAGTTAAACTTGAAAATCCGTTGTTCGGGTATATCGTACTTTTAACGCTTAGTCGGCTGATTGTGTAATATATTGAAGTCAAAACAGCCTCCCTGCATGTTTGTGGCAGATGAAAATTTAGTTCGTTCAAACACTTGTATGATTGAACGAATAATTAATTTTGGTGATTTTCCTTGTGTTGTGGGTACAACTCCAAGAGCTCTACGAATACAAATCAATAATATTTTTGAGAGGTTGAGGTACTGTTTAAGGTTACAGAACACCTTTGAGTGTTAATTTTGCCTAAATTTTTTTTATTGGTTTCAATGAAAGCAAATGTAATATTATTCAAATTCAATTTTCTCCCGAAAAATTGTACGGTGATTACTGATTTTCAAACGAGTTGTGCTCTTGCGGGTTTTAACCAATTTTTCTCAAATTTTCACAGGACATAGCTAAATACGTCAGTTTCAAAATTGTGTTCGGCTTTTTTTTAGTTTTGGATATTTTAAAAATAAAGAGCAATTCACTCAAACAATTCAGAAATATATTGCAGTCGTCAAAGAAATCGCAATATCAGCGGAATGACGAAATAAACAAAAATTTCCGAACACAATTTTTTAGAACAACTATTTTACTGTATAAAAATGATATTTTCATAAATATAACTTAAAACCAGCAGGAACACAACTCAAAAGCGTAACGGTACCGCGATTTAAGATTTTCCTGAATAATTCTTACATTATTTTATTTCCTTTCGATTATCCCGCTCTTGTTGATTGTGACGTGATGGGCGTGTTTGTTGTCGTTGCTTCGACAAGCAATGTTTTCCAAAATGACCCATTTTCCCACATTCGAAACACTTTTTTCCTGCGGCTAGACATGAGGATTTTCCTCCGATGTGTGGATAAGAACCACCGCAATTGCGACATTTTTGCGTACTTTCCTTTGTTGGTGCGTTGTACCGGGTGTTATTACCCTGGGAATTATGTCCCCTCTGGCGTTCTTGCCAATTCTTGCCTTTGATGAAATTTGTTTGTCTATAAGGCGTATTTTTGTCCTCGTGTAGTAATTTGCTGTGGCGATCTGATTGTTCTAACGTAAGCCCGTGTTTTAATAATCCTTTTAAATTTGGCTCATCGCGTAGAGCTTTAGGCGAAGGCGTGCATCTGATGTTTTATGTATTACTTGTGTTCGTATTTCCGCTTCATTGTTATCAAATTTGCATGTACTTGCTTTTTCCTTAAACGACGGTAAAATTCATTGAGTGTTTCTCCTGATGATTGAGTAATTTGACGAAATTCGTATATTTCCATGTCCTTATTACAGGTAAACTACGTGAAGCGTTCCTCTTTTGAGTTCCTAACTCATTTGGAATTTTCATAATTAGCTTTGCAAATTTGGAAAACTCTTTGCAAATCCTTGAGGGAATTTGCAATTTTCCTGTCGGCCGTTGCAATATTCCAACACAAAGAAAGTTCCTTTCAAATTTTCCCAACTTCCTGTTTTAATTTCCTGACTTCCTGTTCTGTTCTGTGCGTTATTATTGGCGGATTATTTTTTAGCCAATTACAACGCGCAGAACAGAACAGGAAGTTAGGAACATTGTAACAGGAAGTTAAGAACTTCTAACAGGAACTGAGGAAAATTTATTTTGCTCTTAAGATCATTGCAAATTCCCTCAAGGGATTTGCAAGGGAGTTTTTCAAATTTATTAAGGTAATGACGAAAATTGCAATCAAGTTAGGAACTCAAAAGAGTACGGTGGCCGATAAGGGCCACCTCTGCTGCATGGAAACGCGACTGTGCTGCATGGAAATGCAACTGTGCTGCAAGGAAACACGACTGTGCTGCATGGAAACACAACTGTGCTGCATGGAAACGCGACTGTGCTGCATGGAAACACAACTGTGCTGCATGGAAATGCGACTGTGCTGCATGGAAATGCGACTGTGCTGCATGGAAACGCAACTGTGCTGCATGGACATGCGACTGTGCTGCATGGGACATGCGACTGTGCTGCATGGACATGCGACTGTTTTGCATGGACATGCGACTGTGCTGCATGGACATGCTACTGTGCTGCAAGGAAATGCAATAAACATTAATTGTTTTCTAAATATAGAAAACTTCCCCCCCCCCGGCTAGAATTAGTTTCAGCCGACGGGGTCACGGGGGGGGGGGATGAATAGTTTCATGACACCACGACCACGAGGAGTCGAGAACGTCTGTCTCGACGAGGAATATCGAAATTCGAAAAGCATAAAATTTAAAAGAAAATATATCGACGATTCGATGATAAATTATGGTTTCAAAAATGTGAGTCTTGAAATTGACAATGAAATCGTGTTGCCATTGTGGGGAGCATTTCTCAGACAAGACAAAATTTTGTTCCAATTGTGGGAAGACGCTGCTCAACAGTAATAAGTATCCTGTACCATTGTTTAATAAATTATGTATTTAAAATATATTATAAATGCATGGATGGGAGGTGTATATTAAATAAGGAGTCAAAGTCGAAGTGACGAAATCTATAATGTGCATTTGGGATAATTGTTTTACTGACATATTGTTTGACATTGAAAAGTCTGGAGTTTTATAATCTTGTTCTTGTATATATATTTATATATAATTATATACTGTATATGTATTATGTGGAGCTACTGTCTAAGAGCCTGTTTATATGGAAGCCGGGCCGGCCCGCTTAGCGAGACAGCCTGGTAGCAAAATTTTCGCTGTGTAGTTATTTTTATACTAGTAAAAATTATTGTGCTGTTTGTGATGCTACTCTGAGTATATATCCGCACCGGGGAAGCTTGAAAAATATGCCTGGCCATGGTGGGAATTGAACCTACGACCTTGCCTATGACCTTTGGAGTACTAGGCCAATTATTGTGCTTTTATATGGACAAGCGGGTTGCCGAGATCTTGCTTGAAAGAGGCGAGATCTTGCTTACCAGGATGGGAATTTCTCCATATAAACACTCAAAGTTCAAAGGCACTGCTGCAAGCTATTTTTAACAACTGTCAAAACAATATCAATGTATCAAAATTGTCTCGGCAAGCGGGATGAAATTTTCTCATATGAATACAAGATAAATTCATCCTGCTTACCGGGCTGTCTCGCTAAGCAGCCAGCCTGGCTTCCATATAAACAGGCCCTAAGGGGATGTTCATATGTATGTGATCCAGTGTTGGTATCATAGTTAGCTCACTTTACCAAGTTGATTTTATCCCACAAGACTTGAAGAAGGGCTGGCTTGCCAAAACAAACCACTGCATCTTTTTAATAATGCAAACAAAAATATGCTAATTTTAACAATAGTAGAGTCTGTCTCCCCCTTGCAGCAGATTGTAGCTCTATTGGCTGCCTCCATAAAATAAAATGTACAGGTACACATTGATGCACTTGTACTGACTGATCTTTGGTAAGCTATTGAATAAACTCACCAGGACAATAGGAAAGTGCATGTTTCATGCGGACAACCTTCCTAACCCCTCCCCCCATCTTCCCTGCCAATCACCAGGTAATGAAAACCTGTGGGTGTTTCCATATGAGAGCCTTAATTTAATTAGTGTGATAAGTGTGCATGAGAGCCTTAATTTAATTAGTGTGATGGCAGTGATGCCCACCCACTTGTTGCCCTGCCTCAGGGGATGTAGCTTGCTCACAGGCTCTATATATAGAGCCTGCGACTTTTATTGATATTTTTTCAATACGCCCCCTTTGAGATCATTGAATATCCGGTAAATAGTAGCCAATCAA